CCTCTCAGGGTTGCTAATCAGGAAGATGGACTTCCTGTAGTGGTCTCTCATCATGTAGCAGTGGGTATTTAATAATGGATCTCTCCCTCACTCATGGTTCTCACAAACTAGCTTTCTTTCCAAGACCAGAATATTAAATTACAATAAACAATAAAAACCCAAACCCAGCTGGAAACACAATTCAGCTGAGGCCAAACCAAGCTAATATGTAGCATTATGAAACATTTGCAATAACAATATAACATAAAAGTATACACAGGTATTTGATAGTTGGCATTCAATTGTTTTACTGATAAATGTTTTTATGTTTCCATAACTACTTCTGTCACTGATCCACTATGTTTCATAATTTTATTGGAAAAAAATTTCAATCTGTCATGATGGAAAAATCTGTTTTATTTTTGTGATTCAATTGTGCAGATATTATTAGTTTTTCTTATTAGTGTTAATTTATCTTCAATCATAGTAAATATCTTCTTGGTCTGGACTGCTTTGTTGCTGATTTATCTGCTTGCTGATGAGGGTTCCACAGATGCTGTGCTGTATATGCAAAAATCATTTTAGAAATAAAAGTTAAGAAATTATCTCTGTAAAAATCTTTGATCTATTGCTGATTGTCTCTGTTTATTCGCATATTTAGTTTAAGAAGGTCAAAATTACCCTTTGCAAGACACCTTTTGATTTAAAAAAAAAAAGCATTGTTATGGTTTTATATAATTGTTTGTTTTATGCATTTTATACATTGCATAGGGTATAATCACATATTAATATACAAAAATTCATTTATTCTTTGGGAAGAGTTTTGCTGTGAAGAACTGTCACCATCTCCCTGCCAGTCTTTCATCTGGCACTGGCACCAAAGTATGCATTAAATCCACACTGCAATCAGTTTAAATCATGTTTGTATATAATTGTAATCAAATGGGAAACATAAAGTATGAATCTGTTGAGTGTGTTTTTAGACCGTTAAACTGGGGCCTACTGTGTCTCACTGATGCTGAAAACAGAGCATTAGGATTAAGGTTTATATGTTGCATTTTACCACGTATTTGAATGCCAATAAACCAAAAACCAAAGAATAAACATGAGTCATTTATGCTTGTGATTTATATTTAATCTGTTTCCTTTTTTTTTAGCACTGTGGGATCTTTCCACTTCAGAGGCCCTGCAGGCCTGTACTCTCTTTTTTAGTATCTTAATAGGCCTTAATGCAACCAAAAGTCGCCCCCTCCTCTTCCCAGATTGTTCCCTTTCTACCAATTTTATCATTTAAAACCATATCCAAGGTGAATGCAGAACACATGCAGGAGAGAAAAAAAGAAAAATATATTTATACAAGTGTAAAAACGGTTAGGTTGCTTCTGTTAGCATGGCTTTAGGGTGGTGGTGGTGCTGTAGCATCATTTGAGATCACGCCAGGAAAAAAAATAGTGCCGGATAATTAAATTAACAATGTAATGAAGTAGAACCGACAGTTCCTACCGAGAGGAGAAGATTTCTTTTTTTTTCCTACCTTGTAGGCTATCACAGTTTTTGGCTGGAAACAAGAAAAAATACTGTTAAAGGGTCTTTTAAATGAAAGCTTTGCTTGTTCTTGTCTGCCTGTGTGAAATCTTTCTAATTAACTCTCTTTTTCACTGCTGTGTTTTTGTGCGCGTGTTAGTGTGCGTCTGCTGCGGTCGTGCGTAGCCGACTTGTGCGTGAATGTGTGTGCGTACGCGCGGCGCGCGTGCGGCGACAGCAGCAGCAGCGCGCTTTCCGCTATACTCTGGAATGCAGCCAGTCTCGGCTCTTTTGAATCCACACTCAGCTTCCAAAACCCAAAAGCCTTTGATCTTTTTTTTTTCCTCGCTGTCTCCTTACCCGGAAGAGAACCCCCTCGCTCTCTCGCTCTCTCTCTCTCAGCTGGGATGAACGCACACGTGGAAATGTTGGCCCGACTCCACACTCAGACCAAATTTAGTCATACAAAGGCGAGGGAGTGCAGGAGGGGGAGGAGGGGAGGGGAGGGGTGGAAGAGGGAGGAAGGGAGAGAGGGAGGGAGGTGGCGGTGGAAGCGCAGTGTGGGGGGGAGTCGGGGATGAAAGAGCCAGCCGCCGCAAGATCAAAGGCAGCCGCGGCTCCGCCCCGCTAACCCCACCTCCGCGCTTTATAAAGATCTGCCTCCCCATCCCAACTTTGATTCTCACGCAATCTCTTAGTGCTCAGACAGATGCAGAAACTCAGCCACTTCCACTGCCTGTTTTGTTTACTTTCTTTTTTCTTAAAACAACAAAGCAGCAACTGTATTTTCTCATTAAATACATCGGCATTAAAGTACTCTTTTTTTTCTTATAAATATTTATCCGCTCGTCCGCGGCTTGATATTCACGGGTTTTTTCAGTGGTAAAAGTAGCAAACAGACCAATGGCTGGCCTTTAAACTGTTTTCTATATTTTTGTTAATTTCATTGCTCATGTGCTAATAATGAATTAATATGAAAAAGGGACTTTAAATATAGGCAGGTAACCTGTGAGTACAATATCACATTTTCTTTTAATCTGTCCATTTTGGGGAGCGAAGACACCTTTTGAATACGTTCTTATTTGTTTGATGTAAGTAGAAAACACGGAAAGCACCATGTAGCCACAAATATGCCCACGATATACCGCAAGGTAGTTTAAAGGAAGCTGAATAAATAACAGGCCTATGTCCCCGTATAGACATACACCTGATACATACATACGTGTGTATGTGTGTGTGTATGTGTGTAATATTTTTTCCAACACTTGGAGAATACGTTGTGTGTTTTTCTTCTTCTAAACTTCCTTCAGCTTATAATTTTTTTGTTTCTGTTTCCAAAACAGGCCATTGCCACTTCTTGCAGATTGATTAAATCACATGCAGCACCAACAAAACGGGCTTAAGCTTGTCCAATATTTTTCCCTCTATATTTCAATTATCATTTTTTATGTCTCCTCATTATTTTAACCCATCACATCCACAGCAAGTTCCAGCCTCTCCGCTCATTCTCCTTTTCCTCCCCTCCTGTCTGCCCATTTGTTGTGAGCTGTGTATAAATCTCTCTCTCAGGAGGAGTGTCAATCGGTGTGGTGTCAATCAGAGCCTCGGCTTCCCTTTCATCTCTCTTTCCTCCCAGTGACTGAAGAGAGAGAAAAAGGAGGAGGAGGAGGGAGCACGGCTACATTACCAACACACACATACACACACTGGTTACATTACGCTGTGGAAGCGGTGCGGGAGCAGTGGGAAGTCGGGTCCACGCGTTTTTCCACTCTTGCCTTCTTTTTTTGATTGTTTTCTGTGATTTTCTTCTTCTTTTTGTTTTTGCTTTTATCCCTCCTCCGACGAGCAGCTTCGAGGATGTATTTTTAAGCATCACGGCGTCTCGCTGCGTTGCTTGTCGCCCAAGTATTTGCTTGTTTTAAAAAACCCCAACAACAACAACAACTGCGTTTTCTTCCATTTACACATCCATCACTTAATTTCTTTTCCCTTTTCCTCGTCTTACTTTCCCCCTCCCTCCAACCTCTCCACACGCACACTGAAGGACGCTCGCAGCTTCGTCTCCGGGACCACCGAGGAAATATCTTCTCTCACTTTTCTAAATGTACTTTTTCACGTTGAGTCGTTTTTACGGGAACGCGGCGGTCGTCGCGTGCTGACTTCAAACAGAAAAAAAGAAAGAAAGCGAGAGGGGAGAAAAAAAAGATGGTGATGAGATTTTAACTCGTGGTTTGTTCCCCCTTTTTATGTTTTCCTCATGACATTGAGGCGTGCACTGGACTTCTCATTCCGACCGCTTTGCATCTCACTTTTTTTTAGTGTGTGAGTTTCAAGCTTAGTTAAACTCTCGCGACGGAAAAAGAACAGAAAAGAAGTGAAAAAACAACAACAAAAGGACGCCGGCAGCAGCCTCGCGCCTCCTGTTGCTTCAGTAAAAACACACCGGCAGTGTGCTCGCACGCCGCTTCCTCTCCGGGTGACTCTCCGGTGTGACACAGGGGAGGAGGTGGAGGGGGGGAAGGCAACGGTCCCCACTCCGTTTCGGTGGGAGTTTTTTTTATTTTTCCTTTTTCATCTTTCCCCCTCTCTATTTCTGTGTAGTTTCGGGGCAGTGGTGGCACGCGTTGTTGTCTTCGGTTTTCTTGGGGAAGCGAAACACTTTGTGAAAAAATGCCCCAGTTATCAGGCGGCGGAGACCCGGAGCTTTGCGCCACAGATGAAATGATCCCGTTCAAAGACGAGGGGGACCCGCAGAAGGAGCAGATCTTCGCCGAGCTGAGCCACTCGGAAGAGGAAGGGGACCTGGCAGACATCAAGTCATCTCTGGTCAACGAGTCGGAAAGCAGCCCCAACAGCAACAGCCACGACGTGAGTAACTGCTGTGGGTTCACTGATGTGGTGGTGGGCATCCTCTGAGAGCTCCCCAGCATAGAGGGAAGATTAATAAAAAAAAATACAACTAAAAAGCCCGCAGGAGCCTTTAAAACAAAAGTTGATCCCCTCTAATTAATAATCTAGTTTTTTACTCAGCTTTAGTTTACCTGAATGTCTTGTGAGCAAAAACGCCTCCTCTCCCTTTGCTTAGTTTTATAGACAAATCATTATTAGAGCTTTATTGTTTATTATCATTATTAATTCACAATTTCCATTTTATTTTCCTTTTAATTGAAAATGTAACTTGAGCTGTGCCACTGATATGGCTCTGATTCCTTAAACTAGAAAAAAACAAAGATGTCACAGGCAAACACTCAGCAGTCTATTAACTGTAATAAATGCAGGCCTAAATTGTAATGTTCTGTTACTGTTATGTTTTTCTTTAAATGAATGAAATTGCAGATTGAGCTAAATGCAAAAGATATTGTATGAGATGTGAGAACTAGGGCCTTGCGAAGCTTAAAACCTGTTTGCCAGCAATATTGTGAATTTCCTTAACATTCACAATTTTTAAAATTCTGCCTGGATGAAAGGATGCAGTCTTTTATTTCGTTTTCAAGATGTGATCTTCACACACTCCAGCTCATTCTGCTTATTAATTTTATTGCTCCTTTTAAAACTGTGCCTATAAATTATTCTTTTCAGTTTTTAAGGTTGGAATTGGAGGGGGGGTTGTATAATAAACATTTTTCTGCATTTGCTTTGTTCCATTTGATTAAACTGAAAGGATGCTGAGAGGCCAGATGGGTGCATGAGAAGAAATCCTTGCATGTGTGGATGTGCTGAATTTGTGGTGAATGTTAAATGGATTGAAAATCTCAGTGGAAAAATTCTTCTAGATTAATTTTTAATGATGAAAAATTATTGCAGTCGTGCTTTATATATCGCACTTGCAAGATGGCTTTTTTTTTTCTAAGCAGGGGAGAAGTGACAGAGCGTGAACCATCAGTGATTTCTTCTTTTCCCCTGCATCCATCAAGCCTTAGGATGCAGGCTGCAGCATCCCCATCATTTAAGTTGGCTGTTTTGCTATTAACCGTGGTGTTAATCCATTTTCTTTCTTTCTTTTCTGATTAAAAAAAAAAAAAAAATTCTACATGGCTACATCCTGAACGAAACTGTATGCATTCCCTGCCGAATGTCCTAGGGACACACGAGACAGAGGCTGAATGTTAATTAGGAATCCAGTGAAGTTCCCTCGCTCAGCTTGAAGCCATCCTGAGGGGTCTGAACTCTAAAAAAGAGGTCCCCTTCCCAATTCGGATTCGAAAAGAGAAAGGAAATGGGTGTTCAAAGTGCAGAGGATTTTTTTCTTTTTTTTTCATAAGCAGAAAATAGTCTGTACTGTTTCCCTTTTCTTTTTTTTTATGGAGCGATTTTATTTCCCTTTGCACACAGCTATTTCATTTATGACACAAACACACTATTTGAATTGAGAAGGAGGCTCAGACTGGAAGATGAAAATGAGAGTGGACCTATGGTACTGAAAACAAGCTAATTTGTAAGCTCCTTAAAGACATGAAGCTTAATTAAGTGGTTCTTCTGAAGCTTTGATGCAGGCTGCTCCATCACTCTTCTATAGATAGTGTGTGTGTGTGTGTGTGTGTGTGTGTGTGTGTGTGTGTGTGTGTGTGTGTGTGTGTGTGTGGTGTGTGTGTGTGTTTCTATAAGCTTTCTCTCCTTTGGTGACAGGCAAAGGGACGATGTTTGTCCCAGCAATGTTTGTGGCTGTCTGACCACATCAGCATGTGTGTAACTGTGTTTGAATGCCTTTCTAATTGATTCTTCCTCTCTTCCCCCTCCCCCCCCTCTCCCTCCCTCTCTCTGTCTTTTAATTTTATTTCTTTCTTTTTTTACAGGCAGCTAGACAGTCCCAAATACCGCAAGATTCATATCATGAAAAACACAGAGACCATCCGGAAGATGGTAAGAGACACAATCTGGAGCTCGTTAAATCAGCATGTGTTATAGGACAATCAGCACTACATTTATTTGCAATAAAAGTCCTTTTTTTTTTTTTTTTTCCTTTTTAAATGTGGTTTGCTTTTGCTTTAGAAGATAAGGTGGAAGTAGTGGCCCCTCGTTTTCACCACGCAGAAGTGATGAAACTATTGGTACTTCTCTTATCAGAGCCCCTGTTCTTGCTCATCCTAAGTCTAGTCAGGGCATGCTGTACTTTCATAAACACAGCTACCTGTTACCTCCCTGGTAGATGAGGGTACCTGCACAAATGGACATAAAAGAAGAAGGAGCAAAAATATGCACTTATGGCAGCAGTTGAGCACAACCCAAAAGCAAAACTTTTGTCTGGCTGTTTCGTGTCGTGTTTCCTCAAATATTCCTGTCGTATCCCTCAGCTCTCCGGTTGCATTGTCGCATGCAACATGTTGCGTCCTCTTGGGGCTTGTTGCTCTCTGGCTATTGTAGTCTGACCCCGCTGCTGCAGGTCATTATTAGGGCTTTGAAGAGGAGTATGCCTCCTCTTTGTTCCGCTTTCACTCCTGAATGGGATCCCCTTCAAATCAAACACTGGCTTTCTTCACAACAAGATCTATGTTGCCGTCACATTGTATACCAGAAACAGCCCCAGCCCCTCCAGGCCTTATTACGCCGCGCATATTTGAGTGGCGAGTGATGCTGTATTGAAGCCTCTTGTGCAAAGCTTCCCCCCCTCTCAGGTCAAAGGCATAGAGGAACAGTTGGGGCGTCTCCTGTTTTGACACAGTCTGTATGTTCTTCTAATTGGTGCTAATTGGCACAGAGGGGCTCCATTGTTCCGCTGCATAATATGACCCGCCTCTGTGAGGCGGAAAGAAAAGGCACAAACAAAAGGCCGTGGCAAAATAGGGCAGGGGTTAAATCAATCGACAGCGATATCATTACTACATCAAAACAGCCAAGCCAACTTTGTGCTCGGCTTTGTTGTTGCTGCTTATCGAGTTTGTTGATTAAAATCAGCCATTTTGAAGATATGACTGTAATTAAAGCTATTGAATCTCTGGCTAATTAATCTTTTACTGGTGTTTGTGCTCTCTGTGCAAAAACACAGCGACCGACACGCGTTTACTTTGCTTGTTTTTTGTTTTTTAAAAAATGTTTTTATTAGGAAAGCATCAAGACATGTACAGTAAAGGCCATCCGTACCCGGGCTACCCAGGTTACATCATGATGAGCAACATGAACACTGATTCCTACATGAACAATGGCTCCCTCTCGCCGCCCATGCCCAGAACGGTCAGTACCAGCTCTTTTTTTTTTTCCTCTACACAAGTTAGTATTGCAGTTTAACTTGTGTTATTTCATGATGTGAAATGCAAACTTAAGCTTGACGTGTGTTAGTCAGCATATCATTTGCCTGTGAGACAAAGAGGAATTTTCTAATTTTACGTCGTAAGAATATAAAAAATTATTTCGTTATGAGAAAAGTAAATAATTGACAGTCCTGAGTGATGAAATGAATACAAAAGCAGTGCATTTTTAGAGAGAAATTCATTTTTTTGGATGGGTTAAAGCTTTTTTTTTTATTTAGTTTTTTTAATACTGTTAAATGATAGTAGATGTTAGTAATAGTTTGGAACTTCTGTTTAATTAATTAGTGCTAGTGGGAAGGAAGGCAAAAACAAACATGATGGGTAACTTTAAAACACCAGCAGAGATTTAACTGCCAACTTTGCACCTGCTCAGATTTAGTCCAGGCTCGGGACAAAATTTCTCCTGACAAGAGAAACTAAAAAGCAAAACTGATCCTAAATTAAGTTACAGTAATGTCACGTATCCTGCTAATGTAACAAAGAGTGTGGTCAGACTGAAGGAGCTATTGCTTTACCTACCCGCAGACTGTCAAAGGGTTGCCAAGAGGCAGCAGGACAGGATGGTATTTTGTTGTTGTTGTTGTTGTTGTAGTTGTTTTGTTTTTTTTTACTCATGAAATTTTCACAGTGATCCCAGAAATAAATCAAATGTATGTATCAGACGCTTGTAGAGGAGTGCAAGACTTAACCAAAAGTGTCACCTTACAACAAGATTAGAGTTTTCAGGACCTTTTTTTTTTTTAGTATTTACCATTTATGATGTATCAGCTAAAAATAACCTCATTGATGTTTTTGTAGCTGTGACTGCTGGTTTCTGTTTTTAACCACTGCAAATTGAGAACTTCATATTGTCGATTAAGTGAAATCTGTGGTTTTTGAGTTTTCGCTTTCAACACCAATAGCTTGCATTTGGTATTTGTGTGTGTGTGTGCGCTTGTGTGTGTGTGTGTTAAATTTAGGAGATGTATCAAGACAACTAAAAAGATATTTGCTGCTCTAAATAAAAGGTCCTTTGCCAATGTGGGACGTTTTTTGTGGTGTCTCTCATGGAGCATTGAAAGATTTATTACAGAGATTTCCATTTTTAAGCTTTTGGGTAAAATAGACTCAGAGTTGGATATCAGCAGGTAAATCATTTTACAGAGTGATCTAATTGGTGGCTTTAAAATAAAATTCAAACCATTTAGTTGCGAGAAAATAATTCCTGCTAAAAAATTCAGCTCAGCCCAGAATACTTCCAAGAGTCGATTAAGAGGATTTAAGGAAAAAAAAAAATCAGATTTCTCGGCTTTCTCGTTAGAGGCATAAACCTTATTTCATCATCAGGATAACACCACGAAAATATTCTCTTTCAGTGTTTGTGATGTTTGATATTTGTCTCGCCGTTGTGTTGTGCTGATATCTGCCCTCTTGACAGCTATACGTGACCACTGAAAACCAAACGCCAGCCATACTTTGTGAACGGTCTCTTCTGTGAGATGTACACTATTTCTCATCTTGTTAAAATCTGAAGTGATGCATGCCTACATGACTCAAGTAAACCCTTTAATTAGCCCAGCAGAACTGAGGGAGCCAACATCATGTCTCTGGGGCTACCCTGCAGAAGAGCTTATAGTACCGTGTTAGGGGTGGCGTGTGTTGCAGATATCGCCCCTGTGACGGTATTAATTTCAGGCCAGCTGCAGGTCTCTGACTGGCGGCTTCCTGTGTCTGTCCCGTTTGCAAATTTCTCCTCAAGACAGACATAAAACACAGGGCGCACGAGCAGCTGTCCAGTCTGGCCCTGCTCTGCTCACGTCTCTGCAGCCAGCTTCAGTCTTGTCTACGGTGTGGCGTCTCTATACGGGAAACGCTCGGTTGTTGTGCTTTTGCAGTACGTGCGAGTCGGTTTCATCAGGGTAAAGTTGTGAAATATGAGCTCTGTGTTGTTGTAAGAATCAGTTTTTGGAAGCAGATGTGATTGTCGGGGGCAGATGCCACATGCTGTGTGTAAAGGATCTTCATTCACACGCAACTCTATCATAGAATGATGTTAAAATTGCAATGCTTCCTCCCTGCCAAAGTTGCAGAAGGTGAAAGTATATGACATTGTGGATTGGGGGGATTTTTTTCAGTTTACAAGCAGCATAGTGCACAAGCGGGGTATGTTACCTTCCAAATTCTATTTTTTGGCTTGTTTTCTGGTAGATTTTAGCTATTATTTTATTGTATAGCACAAAGTTAAAAGAAAAACTCATAGAAGTCTGTATGGAGACCAGCTGACTGTGTGAGAGGAAATTACCCTTCACTGCAGATGAATTAGGCCAGGCAGTTAGGCAGTATACTTGCTGCCAAAACTTCTAAAGCCACGCTTTCATTTCATTTACCATGGCTGCTTTTTTTTTTTTCAATTTTCCTCCTTCCCTGTCTTCAATAAAACGGTAGTCATTTTATATACGTTTCTCTCACTTATCCAATAAAAAGAGCCAAGGCTTGGTGGAGGGATCACGGAACATGAGTCCTCTGGCTTTCTCACTGATGTCAGCTTGCTGCCTCTGCTGCTGGCCACCGCAGCCACAGTATCTGCAGGCCTGGGATCGGTTTTCACTGAGATCAAAGGCACATTCTCTCTTTCATTCTCTTCCATCCCCAGCCCCATCACCGCCCCCAATCCCAGTAGTTTAGATTGATTTCCATTGACCATGACATTCCTGCACATGCCGTCCAGTCACGACGGAGCTGTTGGGAGTTGCTGATTGTCAGCAGATTTTAGGACTTCCAGCTTGATAAGCTGACTCCGGCACAAGAGCTTAGAATTTGATGTGTGATGATGCCAGTTCCTCATACGTGTGGGTTTAAAACAAAGCTAGCCAACTTAAGGAGTCATTTATTTGTTAAGTGAACTTGCAGCTTTTGAAGATTTACAGTTTACAGTTCAATGCGTAAAAGTGTAAGGACTGTAATCTACACCTTGGTGATCATAAAGCAACAGAAACTGGAGTTTCTGGTAAATGCTAGTGGGAACTGCTGTCTAATTTGAAGTGTGTATTTTAAAGCGATTAGCACATTTGTCCATATTGGACTGTTGCTCATTACCTTGGCTGTGATTATAGGCATACAGAAAACCAGGTTAGTGGGGTGGTGGCAAGCTTTTTTGTCGACAAATTTGGCTGATTTACAGCTTTTTATTGACTTTTTAAGCTCAGTGCACTCGTTGATATGAACAAGTGGACATGTTTGAAAGGAATATACTGCATGTGAGGTCTTTTTTAAAGAGGCTCATCATTCTAACGCTTGACTTGTGACATGTCGCAAATCTAGAGGATACAATCTTATCAGTTTCTTATCAGTTTCTCCCATCCACATCCATGATGTGGATGGGAGTAAATCACACAGTATGCTTGTTTTATACCCCTGATCTGAATGTATTTATTTTCTAAATTTACAGTACAACTGTTTAACTTGTAGCACAATATTTTTTTGTATCCTTTTGTCTAGGGATAACCAGCTCACTAGTTACCCAATGTCTCCACTCTGAGAAGCCTTGACTTAAGGAGACAGAAGCTCACACACATTTTTATTTGCTGTTGCCCACATCAGGATTCTTTTTTTTTCCTCCCGTGAACAGTCTTCCTGAGCACTTACAGAATCATCTGATAAGGCGAAAAGTGTTTTTCTGCCTGGAATAATTTGTATTTGTGCTATTTTAAACCTTTGCTGTGTAAAAACTAGAAGGACTGTCAGAGCAGTAAGGACCTTCATTTGCTCAGTGTCTGCATCTGTACCTTGACAAATAAGATTTTTTTTTTTGCAGTTTTGGTCAGAATGATCATAATATAAAGTCTGATCTTCAAAGCAGCACGGATGTCATCGCGCCAGGTTTGATGTGTGAAAGACGACGCACTCGGCGCTTGCTTATCATTGAATCTGTTCTTCTTTAGTCTCACAAACCAAAGCTGAGATTTAGAAACGACAGCTTCTAAAAAAAGATCGCAGTGCATGTGATGGGCAGCGCATATTTTTAAATGACCCAAAATTTCTCAAAGCATGCTGCTGTTGTCACATAAACACCCTCCCATTTGCAAAAAATCCTGTTCTACACGCTCTTTTCTTTTTCTTTTTTTTTTTAAGTTTAAACAAATCCCTAGAACCAGTGAGCCCACGGCATTCTGCCATATTCCCTTTTTAATAAACGTATTAATGCGTGCTTGACAAGATAAAAATGCTGCTGCATGCTCTTAGTTTTAACATGTTGATAGTGCAGACGTAGAGTACCAGGTTTTTCCACCTTTTAGTTTGAAGATGTGTTTGCGATCTCCAACTGTGAGAGCAGTCTCATGAGTCTTGGGCATCAGTTTGAAGAGAGAACTGGATAGAATCACTGGGTTTTGTTGCTGCGGTTAAGGGGGGGGTTTAGAGATCTCCCTCTCTATTGCCGTTCACTCCTTTTTCCCTTTGGACCCTCAACTGCAAGATCCTCGTGGCGAGAAAGAGGGGGCGAAGGGAGTGCAGCGCTGCACTTTCCTTTGATGTAGTGGGAACGTGACGGATCTGCTAGCCAGTGTCTCGCAGCGTGGAATCACTAACCCAGGCTTACCTAACGGGATTTGGTAGGACCGCTCTGGTATCCCTCAGTGCCATGTGTGTCCTAAGCTCATGCCCTCAGCACTACCGTGGAAGATCCCTGTTAAAGAGAACACTACATTTACCAGCAGCCTTCCATGTCCACAAATAATGTTCTAGTTGGCAGCTTATGGCACCTTGAGTAGTTTTCTTTAAGTCTCACAACAGACTGGTCATGCTTTGTGAAATTTACTAGAGCTCAATGTTGCATTTTTGCCTTTTAAGCAGCTGACCTCCATATGATTATCTCACTGTCAGCTCATCTAATTTTCAGTACACTGGCTTTAGTGTGATGCTGTGCATAGTTGCATATTTAGTGTG